GATATGGACCCGCGCGGCCTAACCTGGGCGCCCGAGCGCGCGCCCTGCCGTCCTCCGCACCAGCCTGGGCCAGACCCGCGCGCACAGTACCCTGACGTGAGCCTCCCAGGTGCAGCGTAGTAACAAGGCAGAAGGCCCTCCAGGATCTCCTGCGTGTCCAGTAGGGGGCAGAGGTGGAGGGGGGTGGGGTAGGTGATTCTCACTGGTAAGCTCTCCCAGGGCATTTTCATGCTATGGAGCTAAATGGATACCGGGGCCGGTACTGGGGGAAGGCAAAACTGTCAGGTTCCTGCAAATGTCTCCTTAAATTGAGTGGCCGAGCCACCTGACTTGCCCACCCTAATCCCCACCCAGATGGACACACGTAAACCTGGTTAAGTCAGCACCTACACGTGTTATACAACACCAAGCAGCTGGGAACCAGAGACTCTAAACCGGGTAAGACTGCCCTGAAATCAACCGATGTTTACAAGCATAGTGAAGCGTTCTGTGTTGGCTGTAATTTCTGCCCCACCCCCACTGCAACTAGATTTATAAATTTAAAACTGTTGCTCTTTGGCAAAAGTAGATGAGTGGCACTCTTTCCACCCCACTAATAATTTTTGTGAATATAAATATCCAATGCAATGTGGAAGTTTCTAAAATTACCTAGAAAATAGCTTTGAGGAGCTCAGACACACCACACATACAAATAAAAAAATTTTTAAAGGTGGTAGATTGATAGGTGATTGCTGTTCAAAGGATCTACAAGCCCATAAAGCATATAAATAATTCAACAGTTAAAAAATTACTAAATGGAATAGAGTCAGCTCTCATGGGGGCAATTCCCCAAGCCTGATCCCTTTCTAGCTTCAAATCCTTTCAGGAAACTTTCAAAGGTAGGTTAGCTCCAGAAATGTTTGTGGAGAAACTTCTGGGGCTGATGAGAAGTGGTTGTGCCCCTGAATAAATCGCAATTCCAGGTGCCTACACAGAGTAGAAAAGTTCCCCCAAAGAGTTTGCATGATAGAAAGGACCAACTTTGGAGCCAGACAGAGCTGAGTTCACATCTTTGACCTTAGTTTTACCACATGCAAAATGGGACTAATGTTACTATTGGCTGTGATGAACTATGTGAGAATGTTTATTTGTTCAAAATATTTACCACCTCTGCCCTGGTAGGTGTGACTCAGTTTGTTGAGGGTCATCCCATGCACCAAAAGGTCCCTGGTTTGTTTCCAACCAGGGCACAGAGCCAAGCTGCGTCTTCTATCCCCAGTTGGGGTGCATAAGGGAGGCAACCGATGGGTGTTTTTCTCTCTCCCTCTCTAAAATCAATAAAAAACATTTTTTTAAATGACCACCTCTTCCTACAGGAGACGTATCCTCCCTCCACACTGACCTCAGATTTGGTCATGGAATTGCTTTGGCCAGTGGAATATGAAGATGTAATATTTACCACTTCCAAACATGTCTCCAGAATATGTCAAGAACCCTCGAAATGCAGAAATAAGAAAATAAACAGCATAACTTATGAAATAGGAAAAGATTTAAACAATCCCTTCACCAAATAAGACATACAGATGGCAAATAAGCACATGAACAGATGCTCGACACCATTAGTCATTAGGCAAATGCAAATTAAAACTACAATGAAATACTACTGTTAAACAAAATTCAACTGAGTAAATATTAAAGGTTTTATTGGCTTTATTCAGCGATACATGAATCAGGCGCCATCCCATCCATCAAATAAATAGAAGGGAGCTCTGCCAAGCTGCAAAGAAAGGAAGGTTTTTAAAGACAGAAAGGGGATGAGAAAGGGAAATTTCTAGCAAAGAGTGGAGAGTTTCAGGCTCAGGAGGAGACTCCTTTGGGGGATGGAAGGGGTCTCTGGGGATTACCTCACTAATGCTAACCAGGAAATTCCAGACTGACCAGTTAAAATTACATTCCTGGGGGAGGTTGAGACTGTGACTGGGTTAGGTAGTGAGTCTTGGTTTGCTGACATGGGACTTAGCGCAGCTGATTCCATTTTAGGCCTGTTGCTTTTTTTCTTTTTTAACATGACGTAGCTATCAGCATGACAGAACACATCCACAACACACAAGAGGTAAGGACTCGGAGTAACTGGAACTCTTACACATTGCTGGCAAGTATCAAAATAGCCACTTTGGAAAGTTCTTTGTCATTTTCTTTTAAAGTTAAACATACACTTCCATATGACTTAGTTGTCCCACTTCTAGATATTTACCCAAATGTAATGAAAATCTACGTTTGCATGAAAAACCTGTATTGAATGTTTATTGCTGCTTTATCCATAATCACCAAAACTGGGAAACAACCCAAAAATCCCTCAACTGGGGAATGAATGAAAAAAAGACAAAAACAAAACAACTGTGATACATTCGTGTAATGGACAACTATTCAGCAATAAAAGGGGACAAACTGTTGAGCTATACAACAGCACAGGTGAATCTCAAATGCATTACGCTAAGTGAAAGAAGCGAGACTCAAACGTACATGATTCCATTTATATGACATCCTGGAAAAGGCAAAACTATAGGGACAGAAAGCAAATCCACGGTTGCCAAGAGTTTAGGGTGGAGCAAGGGCTTGACTACAAAGAGGTAGCTGGAGAGAATTTTTTTGAGGGGCCTGCCGTGTGGACCTCTTCTGTATCTTGATTGTGGTGGTGGTTACAAGGATTCCATGCTCTTGTCAAAATTCATAGAGTGGCCACCAGTCTAAAAAGTGGGTGGGGGGAAAGTAAATTTTCTTACCTGCAAAATTTTTTAATATTTTAAAAGATGAAAAAGATGTATGAGGTCAACTGCCCTGTATACCCTCATATTAGGGAATGGATTCCATGGATGATTGCATGCATGCATGCATGCATGCATGCATGCATGCATGCATGGATGCATGGATGGATGGATGGATGGACAGATGGATTAATGGATGGATATCTACCTGCCTACCTGGTTACGTACTTACTTATTGCTCAAATGTTTAAGTTCCCCAGGTGACATTGCCCAGACCTTTCAGGTAGGAGCGCAGGTGTCTTTTCTGCGGGTGTTGCCTTCAGTACACAGTGCAATGAGCATCTGAGGAGGAAATGAGACACCAAATGTGAAAATTCTTTATAAATTGAAAGAATGCCAGATATACTGCCGCTAAAGGAAGAAACCATCTAGATATTCATTTGTTCTGCAACAATGGTGAGACTCCTGGAGGGCCATAAAACAAATAACAGCTTTTTTAAAAATCCAAAGAAAGCTCCTGTCCAAAGATGAAGGGAGATGCAGGCAGAGCAATGGATGCACATGCAGTACGAACCCACTGCTAATGACCCCCCTAGACACACCCCCTCCCAATTCGCCACCTGACAAAATGGAAACAGGATGAATCCAATCTTGGCATTTTTTTATGACAAGGAAAATGAAGCCCAGAAAGAAGAGACTTCGACAGCCTCACGTTGTGAGTTGATGGTAGAGTTGGGGTCACCAGTCTCATGGGAGAATGTTCCATTTCAATTGGTGCTTTATGTGGTGTGCAAAACAGTTCTTTCAACTCCCCAAAACGGTTCTTCCAACTTCTCAGCAGCAAACCCAAATAACTAGATTGGCAAAATACTGAAACAGGCAAAACAGTCCAGAGACATAAAAGGGGGGAAAACAATTTAATGTTCCAATAAAGGAAAACATATGTCCAAAGAAGGCCTTTTAAATTTAACTGAGAATTGTAAGGTTTTTTTCTGTAATCTGCTGGGAGTACTCAATTTCTTCCTCCCTCCCATGCAAGAGAACTTGGCCATTTCTCAGCCTCTAAGTGTGAGCCATCCTCTGCCTCTAAATATGAGCCAATCTATGCTATGATCTGAAAAATTTATTTTTAATTAAGGGGAGAAGGGGATTAGTGAACCTTAAGGCCTTTATCCACAGATCTAAGAGTTGGTTTTCCCAAAGTTCAAACAGAAAAGACTGCTCTGCAGGAAATCCATACTGCAACTTTCTAAGTATTCCCCAGTCCAAGAAAAGAGAATTCCAGAAAGAAGCTGCTGCCACGTGTGGATATTTCTTTCTGGGTGAAACCTAGCATTCATGTTGATTTCTGTGAGTTGAAACTATTGAAGAGAGAAAACAAAACTGCCCTAAGGAAAAGACCAAAAAGCAGTAAAGAGATCCTTAAAAGCTCACTTTTGTGAGAACTCCATTCCACATAGCAATGAGGTTGTGAATCTTAGAGAAATAAAGCAAAGGGGCCTCGACCGTCCTCCCTATAATGTTCCCTCCCCACTCATATTGGGATAGAAGCCAGAAGAAGGGAAATGATCATGGAGATTCATCTTGATTGTGGGTGCCTTTATTTATAGCTGCCGTGCCCTTCTTACAGCTGAACGGTTTACTTTCTGACAAGACACATTTAGGATCATCATATGCTCAAATTTACTAGCAGGCATTATGCAGTAAATTATTTCTGGCTATGAAAGCATGCCCGATTTATGTGCATAGCAGAGCCCTGTAAGTACGACTATTCCAATGTCAAGAGACGGTGTTTAAGTTCTAATAGTCTCCTTATGAGCATTTATGAACATCATTCGTTTTCTGAAGAGACACAGAAGAGTTAGTAAATTGGCAGATGTCAGACAGAAGTTTTTATTTTACTCTCCATATCAAATAGTCTGCTTCCAACAAATCCCATAAAGCAAACATTTCGGGACAGGAGGCAGAGGAGCTGTGGCGCAGTGGCATTTGGGGTCCAGTGGACTTGAGTGGGCATTTGGCTTTGCCTCCCTCCTGTCATGTGGGCAACTCACTTGGAGCACCAGTGTTTTATCTGAAAATGTGGATGACAGTACCCACCTCATGGTGCTGTTGTAAGGCTCAAATAAGATATTTGGGGTTATGCTTTGTAAACAGTAGAGTATTAAAACATGGGAGGGAGGGTTTGGGCTTTTGTTTTCCTTTGGGCATTTTTTGCCCCCAATAAAAAGGAAGAAATGAGGAATGTCTTCGCCATCAAGTTGTATCTCACCACTAGCCGTTCACCCTGTTGAATGAAAACCACTCACAAAATAGTCCAACAAGTGCTGAGTCCGTGGGTTTCTTCCTAGCGAGGGAGAACTGTTAAGTCAGAATTTGAGCAGATGGTTGTCCCCAAGTATTGGGTTTACTTACAACTTTGAAAAGGAACTTTTGCCCTGGCCAGTGTGGCTCAGTTGTTTGAGAGTAATCCGCTGCACCACGGTTTCCCGTTTGATTTCTCGTCGGGGCATGTGCCCGGGGTTTGGGGCTCAATCCCCAGTAAGGGGTGTGCAGGAAGCAGCTGATCAATGTTTCTCTCTTACCTTGATGTCTCTCTCTCTCCCTCTCCCTTGCTCTCTCTCTAAAAAATCAATAAAAACATTTATTTTTTTTTAAAAAAAAAAGAGGGACTTAACCACTATGTCAATTTGGGATTGCAATGATTGAGATACTCCATTCTGTCACCAGCAGAACCCGTAAGTAAATTCCAATCCCCTTATGTGTCCCTTTTATTAGACATTTTTGGAGAATTTTGACAACTGCAACTGTGTCCCTTTGATCATTTGAATTTCCTATTTTATAGCTGCTCTTTCCCACTGGCTCCCAATCAATTGAGTTAGGACTGTGAACTTCACCCTTCCCCTATTTGACTCTAGTCTCCTGTTCCTGACTGTCCCTATTGGGCCACAGCCATTGGTTTTTCCAGCCTTATTAAGGTTTTCCTCTTTGGTCATGGTAAATTAATGCAGAGTTTCTAGCTACCTCAGTTCTTTTTCAACTATCACAGATAAATAAAATTTATTTTTCCAAAGGAATGTAGTCATTTGTGTAGTCGCTCACCCTCTGATGTAACTGGATCCTTGACATCTATTGAGCTCATTTGCATTCATGAGACTGCAAGGTTGCGGAAGATGCATAAAAAAAGAAAGAGAAGGGATAGGACTTGCAGATTCCAGCCATCCAGATGTGGACAGCAGTCTCCTGGGGAGGGCCCTAATTTTTAGTTTTCACTTCGTCCTGTTCTGCTGTTACCACTGCTCTGGGACTTACAGGCTTGATGGGCTGCCTCCCCTCTGCTCTCTGGATGGCATTATTTTTCAAGTCTGGGGACAGGCTACTCTGAGGCTGCAGTGGCCACCTGGGGTGTGGCACCTGGCAAAATTATCCGTCTTCCCTGTGTTGCCAGTCGCTCCCCCGACTAGGTTCGCCTGTGTCAGTGGTGATGAGATGGCCCAGACTTCTTTCTTTTCAACAAATGTGATTATCTATTTATGCTTCAGGAGATTTTTTTCCCCCCCAAGAAAAAGACATAAAAAAAATCATTTAAAACCATCAAAAGCCATTCATTTGTCTTGCTTTGGGGTTCAAAAAATACGGCTGTTTCAACTATGCCNTTTAAAACCATCAAAAGCCATTCATTTTTCTTGTTTTGGGGTTCAAAAAATACGGCTGTTTCAACTATGCCAAGGTGTCAGGAACAGGAGCCCCACCCTGAGAGCACAGCCTTTGCAGGGCATGGCCGCCGCTGGGCAATGAGACAGAGAAGGCACTCTGGTCTATAACAGAACTCTTCAGACTGATTCACGGTGATTTCACTGTGGTCTCGGAACTGGGCCTAAAGTCAGGGCATGAGGAGGGCCATTCAATTCCCTCACCTCAGGTCAGTGCCGAAATGCTCAGGAGAGTCCTCTTCAAGACTAATTTCTTTCGTTTCAAGTATCTCATGCTGTGGCCTCGGCTGTTTCTAGAGGTCTGAGTCTCACGGTCTAATGATTATCTTTGTGGGAGAGATTACCTCCCAGTTAGACATGTCAGCCTTCATTTCCCCTTCCTTAATCACGCCAGTTTATTCCATTAGAGGCTTTCTTCCTGTCCCCAGTAAGTGAGGGTTCGTTTTCTCATCAGCGCCACTCTCTTCCACACAGCACTTTCACTGTGTCGTGGTCATTCCGCTCAGATGAGTTAGCACTAGAGATCAGGGGAGAAAATTAAAACCGGAGTCATGTCCAAGCATATATTTTAATATGTGCTTACAAAGCCAAAGGGCCATTTCGAACAGGATTTAGAATCCAACTGCTTCCAATTGGTTCTGCTACTTCATAGCTATATGACATCTCTGGGCCTCAGTTTCCTTATCTGAAACTGGGTGAGAAGTGACGATCACCGTATCTCACCAAGGGGCTTCTGTGGGGGCTGATTGAAATTCGGAAGCAGGCTAGAACACTGGCTCACACACAAAGGATAACCCATGCATGTATATGAGCCCATTGTTTATCTAGCTCACAGGTATTTATTTATACATCTTCTGTGCAAAATCATGGCACTCTTCTTAGTACGGCATGTGAACCCCTACCCTGACTGTTCTTCCTTTCACCATGGTCAGCTGGACCCTTGAAATGCCACATGACAGGTTCTATGTAGGTCACACTTCAGTTTCCAAGGGGGTGAAAGGAACCTTCTGCCTCGTTAGCACTCTCCCTCTTCTTGGAACTGCGCCCTCCCTCTGTCTCCAGCCATGTGGTGGTTCACAGGAGAAATACCTTTTTCTTACACGGCCACCCCTGAAGGTTCTGAGATGGACAGCTTCCCAAACCACTGAGAGTCTTTCCTGGAGATTTCTGGAACTGGAATTGAGAAGAGACTGTCCTTCTCTCCTGGTGGAAGCCTTGGGGAGGGAGGCTTGGGAGCTTTGGCGGCCACGGTCCTGGCTGTGTGGACAAGGTCAGTGTGCAGGAATGGCAGAGTTGAGAGAGGAAGAGGGGGCATCCTGGTGGCACTGGCGTCCTTGAATAAAGATGTCCTCAGGTCCAGGTGCATGTCTGCTCTTCCCGAAGGCTGGCCGTTCAGCATGTGCTTCGTGGCATGACGTCCCTTCATTGTTCCAGGTGGGGTGTGTGCTTGAAACTAGGAGACACCAAAGACTGGGGGGGACAAGCCTCTCCAGTCGGCCAAGATGTGTCCCAAGAGACCTACTACTTCCTCCAGCCTTCGTCTGCAAGGCTGGGCTCTGTGTTGACCCCTCCGCCCTTGCTGACCTGGTGGTGCATTCTGTCTGCTGTTTCAGTCCACTGATGAAGGAATCATCATAGCTCTCACTGGCGGGTCAGAGTAAGCGCTGTACATCTATTATTGCTCTCCGTGATGCCACACTGTCCTTTCAGAAGGCAAAATCATGACTCAAGTGCAAATGTGAAATGAATACAAATCATGGTTTTTATGCCGTTCATTAATAGGAACCCAGTGGGATGTTAAAACTGGTTCGAATAAAAATTAGAATTACATAGATGTGTATCTTCTACCAAGCAAAATTAAGTGGCATTGCTATGAACGGAAAATATCATCATCCGTTTTCTCAACTTAATTTCTATCCTTAGAAAGTTATTAAAAAAAAAAAAAAAAAA